GACGAAAGAAGTGACGTGGATATTCAACCTCCTACAAGAAAATATACTAGAATTACAACATTCCTAGATGACTCCTGTGATGAGGACTAGATGGCATGGTAATGTAATTTTAATTAAAAAAAGTAATGCATTGCAAATTTTTTTTGCTTTATTTTTCTTTTATTTTGTTAATAAAAATTTAGACAAAATGTTTCTTCAAAACTAATTAAAAATTAAATTGAATTATGTAATACAAGATTTCCTAGAAGTGTTTACCAATATGAATTCCAAAAATAAAAATTTTTATTTTTATATTTAACAAAAAAAATTTTAATGTAACTTTTTTTTTTTTATTATTTTCACACTTGAAAGGAAATCCGGTTTCTTGTAGTGTCGAACAACGCGGTTTCAAAGAACATAGAACCAATTAATCATGTTCTTTGGGGATTATCTGCATTAAATTATGAAATATTTTTCTTCCTTGCTTTCTTTAATTATGTGAATATCATCTTACCGAATAGAAGTTTACAAAAACAGAAACTAAAGTAAGTAATTATGAATATTTGGCCAATAGAAGCTGCTTAAACATTGGTCTTCATGAGCAGATCCAAAAAGCCATGCTACTCATAAGATTAAAGAAAGTTAATTATCTACAAACCAAATTAAATACGGTTCATTTATTGGTATATATACGTATATATATATATATTGATGTGCTGTAAGGAATTTATATCCTTCCACACACACATACATACATACATACATTTCTGTATATGTGCATACATGCAATCCATGTTGCATGCATTTAATTAATTAAAATGAAAATTTTGATAAACTCATGTTTGTTCTTCCTGTCCCCAAATACAAAGACAATCTGTAATGAATGAAATCATACAATAAGGATAAAACTGGAAGAGAAGTGGAGGAAAAAAAGAAAGAAAACATGAAAGATAAATGGTCATTGTGATTTTTAATTCCTCCTCTATCCTTCTCCTTTATATTTATTTTACATTTAAAAATATTACCAGGCAAATTTGTTAACAAAAATAATTGGCAAATCAACATGCAATAAATTGTGAAAAAATAATACATAGGAAATGTCAAACTCTGGTTAACAAATTAGGAATACATTTCAATTATATATGGTTAATGACGGTGAAAAAATAATAAAAAATAAACATATGTAAATACATATTGTTATTTAAAATATACTCTTTAAGTATTAAATACTGAAAAATAATGTTTTTATTTTTTATTTTTATTTTGATACCAGCTGCTGGAAGTTTAACATGCACAATTCTCCTTCATGCATATTACTTGGATATATAAAAAATAATAAAATATGACACAGCATTCAAAATTGAGGAAAGTTGTCAAACAATATTCAGTTTCTATGAAATTTCTCTATACTTCATAATCAGTAAAACTTTGAAAAAAGTCTAATTCATGCCAGCAACAACTTATGTATGACTTAATATTATAAAATATTAAAAACTTAAATATTATAAAAGTGGCTAAAATGTTGTATAAAACAGCATGAGCAGAGTAACATGGTGAAGAAAAATCACCCTATGTATGGGATGCTAAATTTGAAAACTATTTCCTCTTAATAAAGCCAGTGTACAAAATTAATACTGACAAGAAATGAAATCTAATTACATGTTTACTTTGCAAGTTTTAGAAAAGAACAGCAGGAATGGAAAAAAAGTATACACTCAGTTGAACACACTTTTAAGATAAGCAAAATATCCAAATATACAGTTTCAAGAACACAGAGCCTGGATACAATTTGATGGAAATAAATATGATATATTAACGACAAGGACTAGGCACAAATTATATGATGGCAAGATGATGCAGCAGCCAGAAGTTCAGGGCTTACATTAGGATAAAAGTTGACATTTTCTACTTTTTTCCATGATGATAAACAGTAAAAACATATTAATATAATTTATGAAAATCAACAATTAATTTTATGGCATTCACTCAATTCTAGTATTCAATGTTCTCAAAACAATCTATCCTTTCACATAATTTAGCAGCTAAGCTAATTTTCCTAATAAGAAAACTTCATGACAGTTAACATTTAATTTTTTTGTGAATTAAAAGAAAAAAATATGTGTACACGATATATGCACAAAAGAAAATAAAAATAACATAAAGAAGAAACATAAATACAGAAACACACATATATAACAAATACAGAAGGAAGGGGATTATATTAAAACCCTCAGTAAGATTTCTAATGTGATGATAACATTTAAAAACTAGTTCACAGTCTACAGAACTAATATATTAGACAGCATAAATCTTCATTTTTAAGAAAAATTTCTACTTGAAAACTTGTACTTTAAATTGAAAGAAAATATTTTTAAATACTGTAACATTACACCAGTAGAAATATACTATGTTTAACTAGAATTCCTTCATGAATAAAGAAAATACATAAAATATATAATTTATCTATTATCTGTAGTGGGTTTCATAAGCAAACGATTTTAATGAATTAGTAAGGAATTTTTCACATTAAAAGCAAAGTAAGCATAAATTAATCTGACACCTAGAATATAGAACCTGATTTGCCTATCTATATTTCTGTAATGCTTTCATTGCCAATGATCATATATATTCCAGATTATTAACTTCTTGACTATTGAAATCTAATATCTAAAATTAGGCAAAAACACAACCTTACATTAATGGTGACTTTGAATAATACTTTATCAGCTTTCAGGGTGATCAGTTACATAACCCCTCCTTGTGAAGGAAAGCATTTCTGTTTTCATAACTGGCATGTATCTCCTTCTGTTTAAATCTAACATGTAGTTAGCAAAATTTTTATGTTAAAATAGAAATTAGAAAAATAAAAGTATATATAAAGTTTTCAACATTCTCTGATATTTTACATAAAATACAATGACATTTAAAAATCAAATTTTTATCATTTAAAAATGTACGAACAAAAGCATCAGATATTTCTGGTGAACATTCATATGCCGTTTTAAAGAAAATCCACATTGTTGTTATATTGATGATAATGCTACTTTAAAAAATTTATCAATTCTAACTTGTAACAATCATTACATACTGAATTCTTAAATTACTTAAGCTCACCCCATTCAGATCTGAGAGTATCAATATGTTTCAAATTAAAAAATGCCCAAAATCAGCTTCTCTCGTGTAGGAAACATTATAGGTGAGACTTATCAGCTGCATGCAAAAGACCTCTTTAAATGGGTCTGTAACCTCTAAAGACTAATTTTTTATTGCTTATTCTCACTCACGAAGCAGTTTCAGAAAAAATCAGAGCAATTTCCAAATTCCTCATTGTAAAATCAAAATAATTAAACAGCAAACAATAAATACAACTGACAATGGTAATAACAATGCAAAACTATTCACACAAGCTACAAATAAAATATATATCTCTAGTCCTTGAAATGATTAGATCTCATTTAATAAAGATTGAGCATTTCTGCAACCTGTTATGCAAATAATAATTTTAACATATACCACCATCTTTTATAATACGGTAAACTATTTATTTTATTAGTAAGGAAGAAATATTAAAATATGCTCATATTAATTTGCTAATATAATTATTTCCAATACGAAAAAATCTTCTAAATTTTATCTTCAGAATAATATACAGTATAAAGTCCATAATCCGGTCCGGATTAGGGGTTTTTCCGGATTATAGATCATCAATTTAAATCTGGTAAGATGACATGCAGAAATTATACAATTAAAAATATGAAATCGTAATTTATGAAATAAAGAACAATTATGATCTAAAGGGTATCAAAATTTACAAAAAAAAAAAAAAAAAAAAAAAAAAAAAAAAAAAAAAGCTTAATATTTATTTGTTTACTTTATTAAACATTTCTTTCAATGTAAGTTGTTTAAGATGCTTCCACAAAAAAATCGAAAAGTTCCTTTTTCTTGTGTCACATATTATGGACTTTTCAATGCCATACTTCTCGCATCATTTTGAGATGGATAGGACTTTATCCATTTTTTGCAGCAATTCCACTTTTTGTTTAATGGACATTGAAACATGCTTTCGCTTTGTAGATCCTTTGGCAGCTCCAGAATTGGAAACTCTTTTTGACATAATCGAAAGTTCAAGCTTAATTTTATAAAATTGTCCTAACAGTCTGCAAAAAATAATAAGCTGGATCCAATTAGAGGATTAAGGAACAGTGCAATCTGAAATATTAACTAAAATGCCTTAGATAATTTTAGCCTAGCTTATACCGTCCGTTACACATTAAATGCGCATGTGTAACCGCATTATGCGTTTACGCATGCGCAAAAAGTTTGTAGCTTTGAGATCCGAGCTTTGAGATTTATAGATCATTGATTATAAATCTCAAAGCTCTCTCTCAAAGCTCAAAGATTTATAGATTTGATATTTATAGCTTTGAGATTTATAGATCGCAAAAAGTTTGTAGCTTTGAGATTTATAGATCATTCCAGATTATGGAATTTTGGATTACAGACTTTGTACTGTAATGCAAAACAGAATGTGATGGTAAAAGGCCAATGTGTAACTAGAATACATAAGTATCATTAGAACTCTGCATATGTTAACCTGAAAGATGAATTTCTCAGATACTTCTAATAAATAAATTGCATAAGACCTTCCATTCACATTTATTCTGAACTATACTAAAGATAGGAAAACTAATTTTCTGAAGCTGATCAGCTTTTAAGCGAAATTTATTTTGGGTGCAAATATTATTTATTTTTTAACTGGAAGTAATACAATAACAATATCTAAACTGCAAGTATATCTTTTAGAGTAAAGATGATACATATTATAATATTCCTTTTTCCACAGCTGATAACCCTGCAAGCACTAATTACTTTCAACAGATGTTCTCGTTTACACATACATCTTACAAAAATGTACTTAATTATTTATCCCTGTATGGAGTTAAAGTATACCTCCATCAATTAAAATATGTTAAAATACTGGAATGTTATATAGATAAAATTATTCTTGCCTCTTACTCATATTTCGCATATAAAAGTAAAATAATTTATTCAACATATGACATAAAAAAGATTCTGTTATTTAAAATAACTTTTAAGATGTGATACATTTAATTTTAAATAATGAAACCCTCAAATTCTGGCTACAGCTTTGGTTTCAGAAGGTTTCTTCTGCTGCATAAAATGGCACTTTAGGGTTGCTGAGCCCCTGGCCAAGAGGCCGATCGTCAAAGTTGATTTTCCTCTTTTTGTTGCTGACTAGTTGAAGATTCAACGTTCTCCTGTATAGATGCCTGAAGTGCAATGGGAGTCAGCCATTCCTTTGGGAGACATCGCTGAAGAAAAGGTACACGGGAACTCATATCAGCTAGTCTATTTACCCAAGAAGGAATGTCTTTTCCACACAGGATCTGGGATAGGAATTTAAATAAACAATTGAAAAATAACTGTAATGAATAAGAACAAAATCTTATATTAAATAATTATTACTTGTTATGAATTAGATCATAACTTTCTTTGCCAAATTACTGTCTAGAAAGCATATAAAAATATTTGAATAAAATTCAAAATATGAAAAACGTAAAACTTACATTAATAACAATATTTTATCATATTAAGAAATATATATTATCTATTCCCCCTATTTTCTATCTATGAAGAATAACGAAATAATCTTCAGATATCAGAAAATCACAGCGAACAGCATGATATTCACATGTTACCAAAACTAGTAATTTGGAAGGTCAACTATTAACACAGATAGCTACCTGTCTATATCTTAAACCTCACATAAGAAATATCAACTCTAAACTGTAATACAAAAAAAGTTATTTCTACATCCACTTTTTAGCTCTTATTTTATGTATTATAATATTTTCCTAATAAAGCCAGCTATTTTTAATGCCATACAAGCTTATGTCTTTCCCTTTGCCTTTGGTTCTGTAACAGATTTTTTTCCTGCAAAAGCTTTTCTCTTTTCCTGTTTTTCCCCTCTACTTTTTACTAAATTTCCAATGGTAAAAAATTTTCTCAATTTCTTCTGATTTCATCATTTAAACCCTTTTTCAAGAAAAGGAGAAGTAGTAGACAACAAAAAAATGGTAGTTAAATTTATTGCTTCTTAAATGACTAAATAAAATAAATAAACTAAAACAAAAAAATATTAACAGACATTGCACTAAAAATAATTATATATGACTAAATAGCATATATAAAGTTAATAGCATTTAGCATAAAACAAAACATTTCCCATTTTAAATGCATGCGACATCCATATGAATTTAATTAAATATTAATTTAAATGTTGGCACACAGTGCCTTTTACACATTTATTGTGTGTTAGAAACACAATTGTTCTGACTTTATGGAAAAACAAATTACACTGCATTTATTTATTTTTATTAACCTTTTTTCTTTTCTTTTAAAACACCTTAAAAGCAACCCCTCAAACTGAAAGAAATTAATACCTCTAAAAAGCATTCATTTTTAGTTTCTGATTCATATTAGCAATAAACTGATGCTGTTGCCAAACAATAATGCATTAAATAATTCATTTGCTTTCAGTATTATGCAAGTGCATCGCTCAGTAAAACAATCATTTAAAAGGTATTTTACATGTACATCTTAATAATATTTTATAATAAGTGTTATTTAATACTGTAAATGTCACAGAAAAGTTTCTAACATCTTGTAAATGATAAATTGCCAAATTTCTAACTTTAATCTTTGGAGTACTCTTCTTATACTACATAATAAAATATTTGGTGCATTTTTTATTTCGAGTATTTCCTTTGTGCCAGGCATCACCAGTTTGGTTTGGCCTTTTTTCATGACAATATGTTTTATAATTATCATTTGAATAGTCACTTTTTTTAAAACTGCAAAAGTTTTCCCAACATGAGATTTGCCAAGAGATGAAAAAGAGGTTATTCTGCCCATCCCTTCCCCAGAATGAAATGTCCTCACACAAAGAGAAATTTTGTTTGAATAATCACTTCATGAATTTAAAATCTGACTCAAAAGTGAAAGCAACCTTCACTCATATCAAAAATGGTGTTTGAACAAGCAGTTTGTTAGACCATGCATTCTTTTCACTATTGTCACATAATTCATTTACTCATGATAAGAAAATTAAGTTTTGGAAACCATGGCTTGCTTCAAATGAATCACAATACAAAGGTTAATTGGCATAATTACATAGTCACTAAATGCAACACAACTATGGAAACTAATGAAAATTTATTCACAAAAAGGAAAATAATGTAGACCATGCTTTTACCCCCAAAGGATTTTATTGTGAAATTAAAGAATGTTCTCAGCTGCTGTTCCTGATTGTTCTGTTTTGTCTGACAAGCTAAACGAATGTGGAAAGAAAGAAGTCAAAATGTGACAATATGGTACCAAAAATGTGTAGTATGGCTTTAACAGAAAAGTTTTATTCTTAGATATATAATTGTCTATTATACTATTGTCTGTATCTGAAACAAAAATTAATTACTATAATGGAATTCTGTGTAATATATAGATCGCAAGCTCTTCTCTATTTTCCTCCCAAAACTTTTTTACAGTTTGCTTAAACTGTAATATTTTTTTCATATTTTGATATTTTTATACCATTTTACATTCAAAATAGGAATGCAAACACAGACAGAGCTTTTAAACTGAAATTTGCTTTAAACTATTAATTTTTTTAACTTCCTTGTACAAATTAAAGGAAGTACAGTACAAAGTAAAGGAAGTACAGTACAAAATTTGTAATCTGGACGTCCATTATCCGGACTTCAAAGCCACAAACTTTATGTACGCGCATAGAGAATGTGCATACATTATGCATGCGCGCATTGAAAGAAATGTTTAATAAAGTAAACAAATAAATATTAAGCTTTTTTTTTAATTTGACACCCTTTAGATCATAATTGCTCTTTATTTCATAAATTACAGTTTCATATTTTTAATTTTATAATTTCTGCATGCCATCTTACCAGATTTAAATTGATGATCTATAATCCGGAAAAACCCCTAATCCGGAATCGCAGAAGTCCCGATGAGTCTGGATTATGGACTTATCGTGAAAAATTTGGGGTATCATATTTCAACGAAAATACCCATTTTGACTGCTTTCGAATCTATTTGAATATGTTCTTGCATGACATCTGTAACTACGGACGGAGTAAAGGACTCTTTTTACTAAAACAGATTATAAAATAGATTCTGAGATTTCTTTCATGACGTATGTATGTACGCATCTCGCATAACTAAAAAATGATCAGAAGCAGAGCACTGAAATTTTGTATATGGGACTGCTATAACATGTAATAGTGCACTCCCCCCCTTTTTTTTTGTGTTGTTGTTGCAATTGGCCACACCAAATTATAAATAAATATACACATTGCTACTCTGTTACCTGGCTCAGTGAGTCGTTTTTTAATTCTTATATAATGGTAAATTGTGCATTTTTTTTCTTTAAAAAATGATTGAATTATATTGTTCTTATGTTCAAGTTAAGTTTTTTAATGCTTTTATTTAATCTGCATGTAATACGTGGAGAATTATCAACAATTTACAAGTGGATAAGTCTAATGAGGTTGCAATTTGTTTACATTTGAAACAACTTTTAGCAGAATCGTGAAATACCGTAATTTACAGAAGAAACGCCGCGGCGTTTACGTGTTTAAAACTTAAATTTTCAGCGGGTGCGGCGTTTCTACCCATGCGGCGTTTAGGTGCAGTAAAAATAAAATATTTCCTATGATGGTCATTGTACATAGTTTGGATGGCCTTGTCATTGTGCATAGACTGGTGCTGTTCCCACACATAAGACCACTCAGTTGCTTTTTGCGAACGTTATTTCGTTTACATTCTTTCCCTTGAACGGACCTACATGCCTTATTCACCCTAAACGAGATCTCAGAACAATAACATTCTTCCCCCTTTCAAATCAACATTCTCATCAGTTTGAATAGTCTCTCTGCTCTGTCATTCGATGAATCTTCCAGGACCCATCCTCTTTCCACCCTTAACTTTTCTGCAATTTTTTTCAAAAGCGGACACGACTCCACCTGCCTCACAATAACGAACTCTGGCGTATTTCCCCTTCAGCAGGAATGGATTTTTCTTGGCATTCTGCCAAATACAAATCCCATCAGTTTGGGTACAAGTACTTGTTGAATAGTTTTTAAGTAAGAAGGGAGCGGAAAATTTTTGAAAATGTCTCTAAACAGCATAGAAGCTATACATTTCTTACCTTTAATTTATTTTTGAGTTATGGTTTCATTTCATGCATTTTTCTTAACTGGTATGTCATATATCAGGACTTGGTTGAGTTTTTGCATCTATACGACCCACGACGATGTAACGCGCAATTTAATCTATTGCGGCGTTTACGCTGATGCGGCATTTCTATGTAATTTTAATTTTTTTCCCGCCATTTTTCTCGAGTGTGGCGTTTACGCTGATTGCGGCCTTTCTTCCGGAAATTACGGTAAGCCAGTTGGAGCGCCAACTTCGGTGGCTCTATACCCAGTGACAAGAAGTTAATTTTTATTTCTGTGCACAGAAATTTTTGTGCCCTGGCTTCTGGCTGAATTGCTTGTAAACTCAAGATCATACAACATTTGATATGCTAAATAGCAGCTATTAGCGCTATTTATCTCTTACCTAATGTACCCACTTTATATATTATCTCCATTCTTTTTTAAGTTTTAAAGTTCTTATACAAAAACTTTACTGTATTGAAGGTTAGCAGCCTCCTTACTTTTATATCTTGCTAGTTTAACTCATATTGAAATCATTAAATGTCATTCCACTAGATGACAAACTTGAAAATTTAACGCCATGCCTGCTACAGGTAAACCCAAAAAACAATTTCTATGAAAAACATTTAACTGTATTTACATGATTACATGCGGTACTTGACATATTAAATATATAGGACAGACTAAAAACAATCTTAACTTTCGAATCAATAACCATAGAGCTCAAATCAAAATATTCAACGCAAAAAAAAAAAAAAAAAAAAAAAAAAAAATAGCATTAAAATAAGTACACCATCACAACTTAATACAGCAGAATTAGAACACTTTAAACACCATGACTTCAACTCTATTCAACTTCAGATACTAGATATAATACCCAATCACAAAACACGAATTTTTCAGGAATCTCTCTATATACTAAAACAACGTTCACTTTATCCATATGGACTTAACACTTATATACATAGTCATAGAGATACTTCTAAGAAGTCTATTTTCAGCCAATTTAAGCTCTACAGCAACAAAACGCAGAGAGGAAAAAGAGGAAGCAAAATAAAAAATAATGCGAGATTTATATCCACTTTGGATAGACTTGCATTGAAAAAACAATTGAAATGTTTTTTTTTTGACTCAGACTACTTTCCCAAGAAACTTCTCAACTGGTTACATTCCTGTACTAATAAATTCCTTATCAAACTAAAAAAATTCATTCAAGAAAGCTACGACGACATACAAATCATTAAAGACATGATTCTTGATTTTAGTCTTTTCAGACTCTCTAATAGTCTCAATCAACGCAAAATTTATTTTAAAGTCAATTTTCTGCATCCGCAGTTTGACAATATTCATTTCTCAAGAATCATCAGAGATCGTAAAGATTACTTCCCCGCAGTTGACACAATACCAATGGTTGCATTTAAATATCAAAGGACCTTAAGCAACTTGCTCACTAACCACCATGAAATAGATGAAACTGCAGAATGACATTGTAAGACACCAATTTACAGCAATTACGTAGATTCTCATCACCAGCACATAATTACTGGCAACCTGAATATCATACAAAACCATCAACTAAAAACACTAATGAGTTATGGTACAAAATTTAGACCAGTCAGAAACATGACTACAAATTACTGTTACAAGACTTTCGAAAACAACATCAACGAATTTATAGTTAAAGCAAGCTATCAACTGAATTTACCCATAGATACCTTCTTAAAATGGAAAGCTAAAATTCTTCAACGCATATCCACCAGAAATCAGTCACCTCAAATTTAAAAGTACACTGAATTGGTCGCAACTTACATCAGATATTAATAAATTAAAACAGCTTTTTACTATTACAAAAATAGATAAAGCAACTAATAACTTTAGCATTATATGAAAACAATTCTACGCTGAAATTATTCATAAAGAACTTCTCAACGCAACTACTTATCAATTAGCCAACCTTACAGAAACATCTATAATAAACAGGATTAAAACTTTTCATAAGAAACTCAATATTACTTTCAATGCAAACTACAACAGATTTACTAATCTTTATGCGATTCCCAAATTCCATAAAACACCATTAAAATTTAGATTTATAGCTAATGGAACTAATAATTACAAGAAAAATGTAGACTATTATTTTTCAATTCAACTTAATAAAATCTGTAAATTTATTTTCAATGATTGTAACACTAATCATAACTATTGCTGGATCATTCATAATAACACTCCTGTCATTAATACCATTCAAACCATTAACATCCAAAACATTAACTGCTATGATTTTGAAAACTTATATACCTCACTTCCTCTAGAAGAAATCTATACCAGTCTACTTGATCTACCTAAACTTTTCCCTAATATACTCAATATCATGACTCTTGACAAATGGAAAACCTACCTAAAATGCACACTTTTTCATAACTACATCAAGTTTCAAAATCAACTTTTTAAACAAGTCAGAGGATTGCCAATGGGCTTACATTCCAGCACCTCGATCTGTAATATCTTTTTATTTGTCAAAGAATTTAACTTCCAAAAAAAATCTACAACCACAAGAGTTAAATTACTACAAACACACCTACAGATATATTGATGACCTTATTACAATTAATAATTTTGGTAAAATTGAACACTCCGAGATTTATCCGAATTGTCTTACACTTAATAAAACTAATAATTCACAAAATAGCATAGACTTTCTAGATCTTCAAATCATTAACTACAAAAAAAATTTTACTTTTTGACAAAACAAGAAACTTCAATTTCAATACTAACAAATTAATAAATTGGAACTCCAACATATCCAAAAAAGTAATTAACAATACTATAATTAATCAAATACAACGAATTAAAACTATATGCACAGATACAATAGATTTACAACGCGAAATTTTGATCCTTATCAAAATTCTCAAAAATAATCTAATTCCCATTTCAATTTATCAACCATTGCCTTAAAAGAGCAGGCGTTAAATACTCACTCTAAATCATTTAACTGATAGGGATATGATAATTTGTTCCTAAACCTGAGAAGGCGGTATAAGTTGGATGACTGTCAGTTGGAAAGATTTGTATATAGTGTAATTACTCAATTGTATATATTGTAAAAAGCTAATTGTCTTCAGACATATACTGTTACTAAAAAAATGGGCCTATTTCATGCCTTTAGTCTGTCTATCAGCTCTTGGACAGTGAAAATGCCTTTTTCCTTTCTTAAATTCTTAATCATTGCGACACGACAATTAGCCAGAAATTAATTAATTTCCATTCACTAGTATTTTCAAAAAAATCTTAACAGACAGGTCTCTCTCAGATAAGAACTCCACAAAATACATCCCTCAAGAATTCCAAGTCCCACCCACTACCATAAATTACTTCACCCAAGTCTTACCGACTGATATTATTCAAAGCCCCTACTGCCGCTAAGAATTTTCGGACACCCTACACTTCTGAGTCAGACACGAAGAGAAACACTTTGCCAACTCCCCCACTAGAAAGAATGTAAGTTACTTAATACCATTTCTGGCCTTTATATCTTCATGTACATTCACTGATCTTATTTATATTATTTTCTATATTATTTTTATATTATTTTTATATTTGATTTGTTTTTACAAAGTTTGCATTATTTATCTTATTTTGTAATCTTCTATGTTTATTTCAACTTTACTTTGAATTCGATTTCGTAATGACAATTTCCAATTTTTAATTTCTACAAATAATATAGTACTCAAATGCATAAACATGAAAGTGTCGGGGACGGTTACTCGATTTTAATAGGATTTTTCTACAGTAATTGATTTTTACTCCAAATTGAATTGACTAAAATGCTTCATAAGAATAAGTTCTTTGAGTATCAGCATTGGTTCATAATTCCTTCTATTCGCGGAAATATTTGGCCTGACTAGAATTGCCGGTTTGGCTTTAACTTATAACTCGAGTAAAGACGAAACACTTTCGTATTTACGTATTTTTATCAATTATTGTTCATTGAACGGGAGTTGGTTTGTTCCCCTTGAAAAGTCAACTAATTTCCGATCAATGACAATGATTACATGTTTTAATTTTTCCTTTTACAATTGAAATTTTATTCTTCATGATGATTTAACTCCATTCCCCGTTAAAACATTATTAACATTTTACTTTCAAATTACTTCAAAACATCTTTCAAAATATAACTTACCAGTATGGATTCACACTTTTAAAATAATTCTACTTTAATTAAACTTAGGAGATAATATAATCAATTAATCAATACTGTTTAGGAAATAAATTATTATTAACTAACTTTGCAGCAATTGCGCAAGTAGTAATAACTTGTATTCACACTAAATGGATTTAAGATCATACAACATTATATATATATATATATAACTGTATTTGGTGTTTTATTTATTTATTTTTCTGTATTTTACAGTTAATGAAGATGTTTTTGAGTTTTTATGTATTTTTAGCTTCCTGCAAAGTGAGAACTGAATTAATTAAATGTGAAATATATCTCAAATGAAATTCAAGGAAATAAGTTTAAAAGAAATGCACAAAAAAATGTGTATAATTTAATAAGTCATAGAAGGAAGTCATATAGTGTCCACATCAGATATTTCCATATCAAAAACATTTAGTTTCATAAGCTGGCAGCAGCAGATATTTAACTAATAAAAGCAAAACATTTATATAGATTTTTCACATTTTAAAATTTTTAAACTTTTTCAAAGCAAATTATTTTTTAATGCATACAATAGTAATTTGAACTTTTCAGAACAAATATTAAGTATTGGGATACTATTTTCTAGTACTATTGATTCGGACCCCAATTTTTTTATCATAAAATGTCGTTTGTTCACAAAACATACTATATGCTAAAGTATTATGTGAAAAATTGTGATTTTTATGAAAATGTATTTTCAGCAATTTCTATCTATACTGCTCTTTTCCAACACAGCAAACGCTAAAATAAAAAGATACCTACTTGAGTAAGAGCACCAGAAAAATGATTGCAGTTTTTTGTTATGAGATGATACCAGTCTCCTCTGAACTGTTTGCCCAGTTCTTCAACTATTTGACGAACATCGCTATCTGTGAAATCTGTATGGCCTATTAATAGAGACTGTCTAAAATGGAAAAAAAAAAGGCTAAAGTTAAATGGTACAACATTACGCATATTTTTCTTATGTTTCTAAATTTTGAAGTACCAAAAACAATAACTAAGTGTAAACATCAGAACTTAATTTCTGCTTGTAGAATTTTATCTAAACCAAGGGTTTCCAAACATTTTATCTCATAGGCCATATTTGGCTCTTTCATGAAGCTTCGAGGGCCAAGATCCAGTTAATTCATCATACCATGGTGATGCAATTAAGATTAACAGTATACACTTTTTAAACGAGGCAGTAAGATTTCTGTGACTGGATTTATAAGCTGCAATCTTACTTTGTTTTTTAGATTTTTCAAAGAACTTTGTTATTTAGATTTTACAAAGAACTTTGTTTTTTAGATTTTCCCGCAGTTTCACCTAACATAAATTTTTTAAAGCTGTTTTTAAACATTTGCAAAAATATATTTTTGTCCCAAAATATTAGAGACTTCTTTGGTATAATATGTACTTTACTTTTCAATGTACAATCTACATTGTCACAATCTATCGGTGCATTTTGTTTATATTTTGATCAGGTGCATACTTTCGCCCATAAGTTTGTTTATATTTGGGGCAAGTTTTACACGGAAAAAATATCTCAAAAATGAAATAAATTACAACATATACATAAAAAAAATTAAGCTTTAAATAAAATCGCTACTGAAAATTTCTATGAACCAACATAAAATACTACTATGAAAGTAGGAAAAATAACAAACAAAACCTTTATTCTTGTAAAAAATACAATGAGAATTTTTTCCTTGCATGAAGTTAAAGCAAGTATTGTAATCGCCAAAAAATTAGGATATCATTTTAAAGGAAAATATCTGTTTTGACCTCTTTCGAATCCATTTGATTTTTTTTTTTGGGGGGGGAAGGGGGTTATTGTTGTTGTTGTGTGAGACATCTGTATGTATGGACAGAATAAAGGATATTTCCCCCAAACTGATTATAAAATGGATATAAATGAATTCAGGAGAGACTTTTTTGTGACGTCTGTACATACATATGTATGTATCTTGCATACCTCAAAAACGGGTAGTCTCAAAACTTTGAAATTTTGTATACGGGACTGCTATAACACATAGCTGCACACTTCTCTTTTTTAGTTGCAATCAGCTGCATCAAAAATCTACATATGTATACATACATAACCACTCGGTGGTTACCCACCTCGGTGAGCTCAATTTTTTTTATTCTTATATGTTTGTAAATTCTGCATCTTTTGCTTTAAAAGTGACTGAATTATGTTGTTCTTATATTCTGATTAACACATTCGCTGCCACTAACGCGCTGGCGCGTCAGCATGGCGCTACCTCCCATGCCGGTGACGCTCTGGGGCGACAATCGAGTATGATAAGTAAACTGCTTTAGTTTTAGTTCGGATTTGGAGGTTGAACGATGAGGTTTTTGTGGCACGTTAGTGAAGCATTATTTTTATATTTTCAGTGCGTGGTTTTTAAATTTTGTGTTTCAATTTTTTTTTTTGGTGCATTTTTAAAAATGGCGGACAGTACAAGTATTGCAGGACCTTCACAGCCTAAGAAAAGGAAAGTAAGTAAAAAACTGACTGATGCCAAAATATTAGAATTACTAGAAAAGAGTGATCTTTCTGATTATGACAGCGTAGACGATGAAGATTACGGTTGGGATTCTACGAGCGAATCGGAAGGAGATAGTGATGTCGCTGTGGATAACTTAGAAATGTCGGATTCTGACACAGAAGATCAACGATTACCGGTAATCCGACAGGTTGACTGGAAAACAGATTCAAGTTGCATGGTAAGTCATACATTTACAAAATCTGAGTCCTTGCTAATACAGCCAACTGAAAGTACTCCTATCGGATATTTTCGCCTTTTCCTCACTGAAGTATTTCTGGAAAAAATAGTCGAAGAAACAAATCGTAACGCATTAGAAATACAAAATAGCGATAAAACGAAAGAAAAGTCACGAATAACGCTTTGGAAAGATTTAAAAGTGGATGAATTTTAGTTTTTTTGGGAGCATTCTTGCAAATGGGGACAGTAAGAATGAATAGACTTCAGGACTACTGGAAGAAGGACCCATTATTTCATAATGCAGGCATTGCAAATAGCATTAGCCGAAATCGGTTTTTATTAATTTTACGTGCATTACATTTTGCAAAAAATAGTGAACCTGGAGAACCTCAACCTACAGACAGGTTATATAAAATACGCCCTGTTATCGATTTTTTTAACGAAAGAATGTGCGAGATATATTATCCTAATACAGTCAAAAGTCATTAATCCGGACTCGTCGGGACTTCGGCGATTCCGGATTATCGATTTTTCCGGATTATAGATCATCAGTTTAAATCTCGTAAGATGGCATGCAGAAATTCTAAAATTAAAAATATGAAACCGTAATTTATGAAATAAAGAACAATTATGATCTAAAGGGTATCAAAATTTGCAAAAAGGAAAAAGCTTAATATTTATTTGTTTACTTTATTAAACATTTCTTTCAATGTAAGTTGTTTTAAGTTTTGCTTCGTTTCATGTGGTAATACTTTCTCTTTAATTCTATTAAACAGACATAATTTCTTGTTCAGTTACAAAGTTCCGCTGTTCAAGTCCTATAATTGCTGTGTCAAGAACACGGACTAATTTGTCAATCGAAATTTTTTCGTTTTCAACAACCTCTGTTACTTTTCTTCGCTATCGGAAGCGAATTATAATGATGAGGAACTTGTTTTAAATCATATCAAAGACAGAGCATATCGAGATGAAATACTACATTTGGTAAGGAATTATAAGCCAAATAAAATCTGCGCAAGATAAGGATAGTGCTGACAAATCAACTTCCAATTCATTACGCGCGGCGTTCCCCCCGCCGAACAGCGTGAAATTGATAAACAGATTTCGGATTTCAAAACATACTTTCGCTTTAGATCCTTTACATGTTAACAAAATATATATCGGAAATTCTATTTGATATAATCGAAAGTTTAAGCTTACTTTTATAAAATTGCTCTTAAAGTCTGCAAAAAATAATAAGCCAAATCCAATTCGAAAATTAAGGAACAACGCAATCATCAACATTAACTGAAATAGATAATTAGATAATTTTAGCTTATACGTCCATTATACATAAAACATGCACGCGAAAACGTATTCTGCACTTGCGCACACTCATATGCACAGTCGTAAAAGGTCTTACGCGCACACGTAAACGCTTATGCGCATGTGTCAATGCGGCGCATGCGCAGAAAGTTTTTAGTTTTGAGGTCCGGATTATAGATCATTCCGAATTATGGGTGCCGAATTAACGACTTTTGACTGTAGAGAACTTTCTTTGGATGAATCTATGGTTCTCTGGCGAGGTAGATTATTGTTTCGCCAATACATAAAGAATAAAAGACATAAGTACGGTATAAAACTTTATATTTTGAGCACATCAAGTGGAATAGTGCAAAAGATTGCCGTGTATACTGGTTTATTAGATGATTATGGAGGGCAAAACCATACACAAAAAATTGTTTTACATTTACTGAATGAAAATTAAATGTCGGTCACCATGTTTTCACGGACAATTATTATAATAGCTTTGACTTGGCCAAGTTACTGTTAGATAAAAAGACACACTGCACAGGCACATTGAGAACCACTCCAAAAAAAAACACTCCAAAGAATGTTCAAACTACTAAATTGCGAAAAGGCGATACAATTGAAAGGTATTGTCAGGGAGTAATGATCGGAAAATGGAAAGATAAGCGTGAAGTGTCTTATATTTCTACGGAATACAAAAATGAAATGGTTGACATTTTAAATAAACGAAATGAAATAAAGCAGAAGCCTCTGCCAATCATCAAATATAATGCGTTTATGTCTGGTGTAGATCGGCAAGATCAAATGCTGTCATATTATCTCTCGGAGAGAAAATCACTACGCTGGTATAAAAAATTGTTCTTTCATACTATTGAAGTAATGCTAATGAATTCACATGCTCTTTATAATAAATATTCCGGAAAAAAAAATATCACTTTACGAGTACCGACTGAACGTTGTAAAATCACTTTTGCCATCAACAGACGAACAAAAGCCGACTCCCAAGAATCTCAGACATACTCTTCAGAAAAGAGAACTTGCACCTGGTAAAACCAAAATATATACAAAGAAAAAGGTGTACATCTTGTTCCTCTCAAGGCAAACGCACGGACACTACGTATGAGTGCCGTGACTGTCCCGACAAGCCAGGATATTGCTTGAATTGCTGTGAAATATACCATAAGTGATAATATATTTATGCAGTACTGTTCTACACTGACATTTTGTTTGTAATAAGTTTAATTTTTTTTTCATTTTCTATTATGTTGTTTATGTACATTATACAATATTTGTTACATTTTATAATCTTACATTTACATTTATACATATTTATGTTTTACTGTTACATTTTATAATTTTTCATAAATTTCACTTCTCTTTATCCAATTAAACGTTTTATTTCTTTTAAACTGTGACTTTATATAATGTGTCAATAATTTCGCAGAAAAATGATGAGACGCGCCAGAGCGTCAGTGGCATACAGATAATAAGTTGAACGTGAGGTGCCACTGACGCTCTAGAGCGTCCGAAATTTTTTTACACTAAACACGAAAATAAAAGGTTTTTCTTTTTTTCTGGCTTTACTATTAAAATATTAGGAACGTTTTTAATCATTAAAACACTTTTTTTAAATTCGGCTTCTGAGGATGGATATATAAATTTTGGTGGCAGCGAATGTGTTAAGGTTTATGACTTTAGTTAATCTACATGCAATAATTGTAGAATTATCAACAATTTAAAAGTTATTTAAATGCTAACAAATAACTATGCCTAACAAAGCTGAACTATGCCTAACAAAGCTGCCATATGTTTACATTTTAAACTCTTGCTTTGGTTTGAGTTTTTATGCATTTTTGTCTTGTCACGAAGTGAGAACTGAATTGACGTTTAAATGAAGTGCGGCAAA